CGAACAGTATATTACCGCAAATCAACAAGCCGAACTCAAGACGGGCAAAATGAGTAAGTCAAATTAATTTCACTAAATTTTGGTCAGTTTTCATCAGTATTTTCTATATATATTCGCAATAATCGCAAATGGTTGTATTTTGTAAGATTTTGAAACGTGTATTTTATTCTATCTATTGCTTTGAAACAGTGCATTCGTGAAGGTAGTAACTCAGTCTCAATGTTCGATTGTTAATGTTTAGATAATTTGATACCTTCGTGCAGTGCCGCAGTGGCGTATATCGGTGGATAGTGAGATGCATGGATATTCGGCGTTATTCGCCATGCTCGGATGGGAAAACTCTGGACCGCTTCCAGCATGCCTGTATAATGAAATCTGGAAGAGGTATCCGTCTCAAAGCAACACTGGATATAAATAATCACAGCAGAGAACTGAGAACGTGATAAAAAGTGTATACTATGTTACGTAAACTGATATTGTAAATTATAAGTATAAATTAACCTAGTCAAATAAATGGTTCTTCACTCGGACTCTGTCGCGTGAGTATGATCGACTAAGAAGTATATATAAAGCGCTCCGGCCTTGGTGGTTAATACGCCTGTTGTGAAAACATAATTTCTTGACTGATAAGGCCAGAAAGGAATTAAATTAATTACGGCCCAGAATAGTATTCATTTGACGCAGCTAGTACACAACCAGTGACTAAGGAATAAATTGCGCGCAAATAGTATATAGATACGGCACGTTTCAGCAAACGCAAATAGACGAAAACATGACATACTTGAAGCGTAAACAAGCAACGAGCTTAACTGTGGTATGACATGCGAACTGAGGTACTTTAGTACTTATATTCCTAATAGTTTATTGCGTTCTTGGTATACTCAACTTCGTTTACTTCAATTAATTTCATTTCGCCTATTCTGTCATAGTACGGACTGTATAAATTCTAGCTATATCCAACTATCTACAATGGACTATATACAACGAAAATATCTACAATATGCCACAACTAACGACATTTGAAACCTACACTGCTGCTACAACATTGATTTCGCATTTCGGCGGCTTATAAGCGATAAATCGTCGTATGGTGATATCATTGCATTGATTTACCAATGTATCGCATCTACATAAGGCAGATTTATTTGGATTTTGTTTAAATTATCAAAAAATCCCAATTCAACGCAGTTGAAGCTACATTGTTTATAGTATTTACAGATAGGAAGAGTGCACTGTGTCACACTGCATACGTCATCATGACCTCTTGGCCGCGCGAGGATTTCATCAGCTAAAATTTTCATAGCCCAACTTTAAACGCAAAATTCACAAACTTCTAGTTCGAAGTATTCAACAAGGTTGGTATTAAAATGATCAGAAAAGATGAAATTTTCAGATAATGCAAAAATCACAAAATTGAAATTTTCATTGCATATACACTTTAAGCCCCGACATTTGGTGGATGTAAACAAGTGACGCGTGCATGTATACTCGGAAAAATATTGGCAAATATATGTAAGGACTGTAAGGAGGGAGAATGTAAAATTTCAGCAATTTTAAGAAATATATTTTACTTAGTTAGATCTCTGTTGCTTTGCCTACAGTTTTATACAGACAATGACATCGTGAAACGAGAGAGCTCAATAAGGATTTGTAAACAACAGCTCATTCAGGGCGGCAATTACGGCTTTAAAAACTAAATAATATATAGCGGCACTTGCAGAACGGCATGTTCATGTGGAGGCGAGCTACCTTTCACGATGTCATTGTCTGTATAAAACTGTAGGCAAAGCAACAGAGATCTAAGTAAAATATATTTCTTAAAATTGCTGAAATTTTACATTCTCCCTCCTTACATATATTTGCCAATATTTTTGAGAGTATACACGCTTCACTTGTTTACATCCACCAAACGTCGGGGCTTAACTCGAATGCTTAAATCGTTAATTGACTTCGAGTTAAGCCCCCGACGAAAAAGGGCGTGGCAGGGGCTTAACTCGAAAAGGGCTTAACTCGGAGGGCTTAACTCGAAGGGCTTAACTCGAAAAATACCTACCCCGTCTCGACACTAGACACATTTAACTTGCTCAGCAATGCAAACCATGCAGATTCTATGCAGTACTAAATAAAACTTTCTGTCTTCAAGTAAAGCTTAGTTTTCGACGCTACATTCCTGAGTAATGTCCAATACAGGCATCTGATGTCTGATGGTGAAGATGGTGTACGGTGGTGTATGATGGTGGAAGTGTCAGATGGTTGTCAGATGGTTGTCAGATGGTGTATGATGGTGTATGGTGGTCGAAATGTGTCAGATGATTGTCAGCTTGTGTATGATGGTGTATGATGGTCGAAGTTTGTCAGATGGTGTCAGATGGTGTATGATGGGGTAGGGTGGTTATACAGGAAAGGGTTGTCAGATAGTGAAGATGGTACAGATGGTGTATGATGGTCGAAGTGTGTGAGATGGTTGTCAGATGGTGTATGATGGTCGAAGTGTGTCAGATGGTTGTCGGATGGTGTATGATGGTGTAGGGTGGTTATACAGGGAAGGATTGTCAGATGGTGAAGATGGTACAGATGGTGTATGATGGTCGAAGTGTGTCAGATGGTTGTCAGATGGTGTATGATGGTGTATGATGGTCGAAGTGTGTCAGATGGTTGTCGGATGGTGTATGATGGTGTAGGGTGGTTATACAGGGAAGGGTTGTCAGATGGTGAAGATGGTACAGATGGTGTATGATGGTAGAAGTGTGTCAGATGGTTGTCGGATGGTGTATGATGGTGTAGGGTGGTTATACAGGGAAGGATTGTCAGATGGTGAAGATGGTACAGATGGTGTATGA